AAGAATGAAAATAGATCCATATCTATCACCATGCACAAAACTCAGGTTCAAATGGATTAAAGACATCAACATTAATCCGACCACTTTGAACCTGATAGAAGAGAAAGTAGGAAGTAGTCTACAAGACATAGGCACAGGAGACCACCTCCTAAGCAGAACCCCAGAAGCGCAGACAATAAGAGAAACAATAAATAAATGGGACCTACTGAAACTGAGAAGCTTTTATAAAGCAAAGGACACTGTCAGTAAGACAAAAAGGCTACCTTCTGACTGGGAGAAGATCTTCACAAACCCCTCAACAGACAAAGGTCTGATCTCCAAAATATACAAAGAACTCAAGAAACTAGACACTAAAACTCTAATTAACCCAATTAAAAAATGGGGTACTGAACTGAACAGAGAATTCACAACAGATGAACTTTGAATGGCTAAAAAGCACTTAAGGTCATGCTCAACCTCCTTAGCGATCAGGGAAATGCAAATCAAAACAACTTTGAGGTATCATCTTACACCTGTCAGAATAGCCAAATTCAAAAACACCGATGATAGCCTATGCTGGAGAGGATGTGGAATGAGGGGAACACTCATCCATTGTTGGTGGGAATGCAAACTTGTGCAGCCACTGTGGAAATCAGTGTGGCGGTTTCTCAGGAAACTGGGAGTCAGCCTCCCTCAGGACCCAGCAATTCCACTCTTGGGAATATACCCAAGAGATACCCTAACATACTACAAAAGTATTTGTTCAACTATGTTCATAGCAGCACTATTTGTAATAGCCAGAACCTGGAAACAACCTAGGTGCCCCTCAATAGAAGAATGGATAAAAAAGGTGTGGAACATATATACATTAGAGTTTTACTCAGCGGTAAAAAACAGTGACATCTTGACTTTTGCATGCAAATGGATGGACATAGAAAACGCTTTATTGAGTGAGGTAAGCCAGACCCAAAAAGAGGAATATGGTATGTATTCACTCATATGTGGATTCTAACCGTAATTAAAGGTCTTTGAGCCTATTATTCGTGATCCTAGAGAAGCTAAATAAGAAGGTGAACCTGACGAAAATCATGTAGCTATCCTCCTGGAGATTGGAAATAGACAAGAGTCCCAAGTAACCTCGGGTGCATGGGGGGGGGCTGTTGGAAGGGGAGAGGGTTAGAGAGAAGGGAGTAGGGGAGAAATGGGGAAAGATCGGGGGACTGGGATGAGGGGAGGGAGAATGGATAGATATGGGATCAGGCAAGTATATACCTCAACTAAGGGAGTCATTTTAGGGTTTACAAGAGACTTGAGTATAAAGGGGATCCCAGGTCCAAGGAGAGATCCCCAGATTGTTCTCTGGACAGAGGAGAGGGTGCCTGAACCGGCCTTGGCCCACAACCATACTGATGAACATTTTGCATATCACCATAGAACCCTCATCTGGCGATGGAGGGAGATGGAGGCGGAGACCCACGTCGAAACACTGGACCTAGCTCCCTAGGTCCAAAGGAGAGGCAGAAGGAAGGAGAACGTGAACAAAGAGGGCAAGAGCAGAGGAAACCTTCATCCGACGTTGGATGGCGATACAGATGGAGACCCATATTGGAGCACCGGACGGAACCCTCCATGGTCCAAATGAGGAGCAGAAGGATGAAGAAAATGAAAAAGGAAATCAGGACTGCGAGGGATGTTATCACC